ATTGGCTGATCTGTTTTCAATACCCTTCCTAATAATCCCCAGCATAGCATTGGCCTTCTTTATTGCAGGCACACACTGTCTCGACATTTTCAGTGAGTTATCTACTACAACTCCAAGATCTCTCTCTCGATCAGTCTCTGCCAGTTCAGACCCCATCAATGTGTATTTATATTTAGGATTTTGGCTCCAATGTGCATCACCTTGCACTTGGCCACATTGAACCCCATTTGCCACGTTGACGCCCAGTCGCCCATCCTCGACAGATCCCTTTGGAGTGCCTCACAATCCTCACTGGTTTTCAGCACCCTGAACAACTTCATATCATCCACAAATTTAGCCACTTCACTGCTTACTCCCAACTCCAAACCATTAATGAACAAGTTAAAAAGCAGTGGACCAAGTACTGATCCCTGCAGTACCCCAGTGCTTACCACCCTCCACTGAGAAAATTGTCCATTTATACCCACTCTCTGTTTCCTGTTAATTAGCCAGTTTTTGATCCACAAAAGGACTTGTCCTTTTATCCCATGATTTTTGAGCTTCCTTAGGAACCTTTGATGAGGAACTTTATCAAAAGCTTTCTGGAAGTCATGGTAAACAATATCTATTGGGTCCCGCTTGTCCACATATTTGTTCACCCCCTCAAAGAACACTAACAGGTTAGTGAGACAAGATCTTCCCTTACAAAACCCATGCTGAGTCTGCCTCAATAGCTTTCCACCTCTTAAAGGAATCCTTTTTACCTTTTACAACTTCCATTACATTGTTTGTTAACCATGCAGGCTTTTTCCTGTACCTGTTTGTGCCTTTCCTAACCTGCGGTATATATTTTTTCTGAGCTTCTAGGATCGTAGTTTTAAATAGTTTCCAAGCTTCCCCAATGGTTTTGACCCTTTCTACTTTTCCTTTCAGTTTCCTCCCTACATGTCCCCTCATATCAGAGAAGTTACCCCTTTTAAAGTTAAAAGTGGTTGTGTGGGTCTTTGTGGGTGTAATGACCCCCAGGGGGTTGCCACCTCCAGCTGACGCCACTCTGGACTTCAGGTCCCTCGAGAAGGCACAGGGCACCTTCCCAAGCCCATCCAAAAATGCCCCCTTTTAAGCCGAGAACATGGGCGTGATGACCAGGCGGATAACAATTAAGCAAAATGGTTTGTTAACAAGGTACTGGGGCAAGGAAAACAAGACAAGGCGCTTTAAAAGATCTAACAGTGTTCAAAAGGCAAAATAACCACAAACCTAATGTGACTACCTAGTTCGCTTAACCGGTTACCACTTCCAGGCCCACAGCCTGCCAGGCTATGCTACCTGTCCTCACTCTGTCCCCAGTGAGGGATCTTTTTCTCTCACCAGACCAGCCTGTCCCCTCTGTGAGACCAGACCGCAGATGAGAGACAAAAGAACACCGTTTTTCACAGTTAACGGCTTAAGTCAGAATCTCTTCACACAATCTCTGGAAACTAATTGGCTATAACCCTCCCTAAGCATTATGGGGATTGTAGGCTGTCTACTTTCCACTCCCACACTGGTCTCTCCTGGGACTAGGCCTTGCTCCCAGTCCTGCACAGATCACGACAGTGGGCAACTCCCTACTTATACAAATGTTGAACTCAATAACATTATGGTCACTGTCCCCAAGGGGTGCTGCCCTCCCCCACCCTCCCCACCCCGAGTTGCTCTCAGCCCTCCTATCTCCAGCAGGCCACCTCCCAGCCAGTGGAAGCGCCGCCTGCCCCTGAGCCCCCCGTCCTCGCGCCAGAGCCGCTGGAGGGGGCCACCGTCATCTATGAGGCAGGTGGGTGCCACAGCTGGACGGGGAAGAGGAAGGGTGCCGGGAGGCGCTCCTTGTGGCTTCCTAAGGGCCGAGGGGGTGGGAGGCCAGGCGGGTGATGGACTCTCCTGTTCCCATGCCAGGCGTAGAAGGCTCGGCCGAGCTGGCCACGCAGACGGCGCTGGACCTCTTGCTGAACATGAGCAGCCAGCGAGAACTGCCCGGCAGTACCCTGGAGGTGAGCGGGAGCGGCTGAACGCCTGTCCTGGCTTGCCCCATAAAAGGCTGTCTGTCCCTCCCCCTGTGGGGTGCTTGCGATGGCCCGCCTGGTGGCAGTACAGCCTCCGCCTGCTCCCTCTGCTGCTGGGGCACGATGAGTCAAGACAGCCTGCGAGAATCACGCTACGTGGCTGGCCAAAGCAGCAGCTACTGCCGCCGCCACAGTCCTTCACTGCACTGTCCGTTCCTGCCTCTGGCCCATCAGGCCGCGGCGGGCTGGGGGGCAGGGGTGGGCAGGGTAGCTGCCTGGGCTGGTGAAGGAAGCTGATGTGGGGGGAGGGCTTCAGCGGCCAGGGAGGACCTCCACCAAATGCAGCCCAGGAGGTCGCTGGAGGCCTGTCCTCGTACCTGCCTGGAGGGCTTCTGGGGGAAGCTGGGGGGGGGCATTTTGGCCCTGGCAGCTGTACTGAAGCAAAGGGGCTGTTGGGCTGCGTGGGGGAGGGACTCGGCCTCCCCTGGGTGTCCGGGGTCACCTCCTGCCAGGTGTCCGGGGTCACCTCCTGTGCCCGGCAGGTGTGGGAGGGGGCCCTGAGGCCAGGTGTGCTCTCTCTCTCTCTCTCTCTCTCTCTCTCCTGCTAGGTGGCCATGGTGCAGGCAGACGGCTTTCCCCAGGCCTCCGAGGGCCAGGCGCCTCCGGAAGGTGGGGGGGAGGAGGAGGACTCCCACACCAAGGTGCTGACCCTGCACGTCACGCAGCAGAGTGAGGCCCTGGTGCAGGAGGCCTATGAGGAGACGGTCCTGGGCAGCGCTGAGCTCCAGCAGGTCACCATCCCCTTCAGCGGCACGACGGAGTACAGCATCATCGCCCCCAGCGGGGAGGCCAGCGGCACTCTCTATGGGTGAGGAGGGCGAGGGCGGGGACCGTGCCGGGCTTTGGGCGGAGGCAGGGGGGCAGGCCTCTCCCCCCCCCAACCCTTGGGCGGAGCCTCCCTGTCAAGTCCACTGGACTGGGTTTACTTCCTTTGGCGGGGGCGGGGCAACATGTGCTCATCTTCCTTTGGGATTTTATGGTTGCTTTGGGGCAGGATGCTCTGTTGAGTCCTCCGTGGCCTGACGGCAGGCGCAGCAGAGAGCGCTGCCCACCCACTAGGCCAGATCTGGCTGTAGCTGCTCCCCTGCTGCTCTTTCCTTCGTTCCTCTGCACTTGGGTTTGGCCCGGGGGGGGGGGTGCGAGCAAAACCACTCCCCAGTGGGACTTTGGACACGCCCCGCACAAGGCCAGTCCCACGCAAGACCGAGCCGGATCCTTCCCTCGGGCTTCTCTGTGCACACCTGGGCCGGTCCCTCCCGCATAGCTGCCTCCCTTGAGGGCGTCTGCTGCATTGCCACGTGGGGGACAGAGAGCCGGAGAGGGGGGAGACGACGGAGCCCTGTCCCTGGAAAGGGGGGGTCGGGTGAGCAGGGGCCCCCGGGCCTCACACTTCTGCCCCTCCCTTCCTTCCTTCCTTGGCAGCGAGGAGGAGGAGGAGAGTCCCAGCGAGGCGGTGCAAGCGGTGATCAGAGATACCCTGAAGGACATCGTGGCCCCTCCCGGCGGCCTCCCAGGGGGCCAGCAGCCTCCCGCAGAGGTGAGTGGGGGGGGTTGACGGGGGGGGACAAGGCGGGGCTCCGGGGAGCTCCTCTCACACCCATCTTGTCCCCGACAGCCCCTGGTGCAGCGCTTGACTTGGCAGGCCCCCAAGGCCGTGGCCCCGGCCCCCGAGAGCCAGACGGAGGCCTCCCCCCAGGCAGAGGCGTCCAAGAAGCTCCCCTGCAAGAAGCTGCCCCCCGGCCAGGGCGCCTCCTCGGCCAAGAAGTTCTCCTGCAAGGTCTGCACGGCGACGTTTGCCGGCCGGGCGGAGATGGAGAGCCACAAGCGGGCCCACGTCGGGCCCAGCGCCTTCAAGTGCCTGGACTGCCCCTTCACGGCCCCCGCCTGGCCGGACGTCCGGGTTAGTACTGGGGCTGGGGGTGGGAGTTGGGGTCACGTCTTGCCCTCGGAGTGAGGTTGGGGAGGATGTTTGGTGTCGTGGTTGAGTGCCCGGACTCTTATCTGGGAGAACCGGGTTTGATTCCCCACTCCTCCACTTGCACTTGGCTGGATGACCTTGGGCAAGCCATAGTTCTCTCAGAGCTGTTCTCTCAAGGGCAGTTCTGGAAAGAGCTCTCTCAGCCCCCACCCACCTCACAGGGGGTGTCTGTTGTGGGGAGGGGAAGGGAAAGGACTTTGTAAGCCACTCTGAGACTCCGAGGGAAGGGCGGGGTAGAAATCCAATCTCCTCCTCTTCCCCACTTTGCCACTTGCACCTGCTGAATGACCTTGGGCAAGCCATAGTTCTCTCAGAGCTGTTCTCTCAAGGGCAGTTCTGGAAAGAGCTCTCTCAGCCCCCACCCACCTCACAGGGGGTGTCTGTTGTGGGGAGGGGAAGGGGAATGAGTTTGTAAGCCGCTCTGAGACTCTGAGGGAAGGGCCATGGGTTAGAAATCCAATCTCCTCCTCCTTCTGGGGGCAGAGGGGTCTTGGTCTTTCTGTGAGGTCAGGAGCCCTTATAGGGAAGGTCTTTACCCCACGTTGGCCGTACGAGGCCCGACTTCCACGTGGCTCTTGGGGCCGGCTGGGCAGAAGCACTCTCCCGTGAGACATCCCACCAGCATCAGCCTGGGCAAAGCAGCAGCACAGCCCCCCCCCCCCCCCCCCAGGAGCCCAGTTCAGACAAGATGCTGTCTGTCTGAAGAGCCCCCCCCCCATCACATGGACGTCAGAAATGGGGGGGAGGCTGAGCCCATCACCTGGCACCGCTCGTCTGAATCGCTTGGGCTGATGCAGGGAAGGGGACGGGCAGCCCTGGCTGGCGCTTCGGGGCCGGAGGGCTCTCAGCTTCGGCCTCTCCGGCTCCCTCCCTGGTCTCTGGTCTGGCCTAGAGGCAGTGGGCGGCAACGCTCCCTCTAAGCTGTGGCGTCTTGTGAGCAAAAATTCTACTTTGTGAGCTCCTGGCATTAAAGTGGTGAGCCAGCGATTTGGTTGCTGCATAAATCAGTTGGCTCTGGAGCCCTCCTTCCTGAGCCAAGACAAAAACGTGGGAGCCGGAGGCTAAAAAACGGTGAGCTGGCTCACGCTAACTCAGCTTGGAAGGAACACTGGTGGGCCGGGCTCTGATACTGAAGTGGCTTCCCCCTCCCCCCCCCCCCCCGCAGAGACACATGGAGCAGCACGCCAGCCTCCGGCCCCACAAGTGCCAGCACTGCAGCTTCGCCTCCAAGAACAAGAAGGACCTGCGCCGGCACACCCTCACCCACACCAACGAGAAGCCCTTCTCTTGCCACGTCTGTGGGCAGAGGTGAGGGTGGGGGCAGGGACACCGTCAAAACCCCCCCCATCCGCACAATCGGGGAGCCGGCGAGAGGGCGCTTGCTTTTGCAAGGGGGAGGCTGCCTCCTCGCCATGGGTGCCGCTGATCCGTTTCCTCCACAGGTTCAACCGCAACGGGCACCTCAAGTTCCACGTGCAGCGGTTACACAGCTCGGAAGGGAAGCCGCCGGCGGAGCCTGCGCCCAGCGCCCCCCAGGCCATCATCCTGAACAGCGACGAGGAGACCCTGGAGACCCTGCAGAGTGAGCAGAGGGGGAGGGGGGAGAGGTGTCTTGGGCGGGGGGGGGGGAAGGAGATCTGTGCCCCTGCGAGCCCCACAGTTCCTCTCTCTCCCTCTCTCTCCCTCCCTCTCCTTCCTGCAGCCGCTCTGCAGTCCAGCCAGGCCCTCCTGTCTCCAGAGGGGCTCCACCAGGCGCTGGGGCAAGAGCACATCATCATGGCCCAAGAGCAGAGCGGCCCCGAGCAGGTCAGTAGCAGCAGCCACCGCCACAGGGCCCCGATCCCACCCGCATGGAGCTGTTGGCCGGGCCCACCCAGCACTTCCTCTGGCTCTCAGCCTGGCCAGCCGGGGGCCCCGGGGGAGGAGCTGCAGGAGTGGCCCAAGACTCCACCCACCCGCCCAGCTTTCCCACGCTGGCCGGCTTTCTGTCCCCGAGAAGGACAAGAAGATGATAGACAAACCCCCCCCGGGTGCCCCCCACCACCAGTCAGCGGTCGTTGGTAAGCTGGCTTTGAATGTGGAGGTTCCACTTAACCCAGGAAGCTGCCGTCTACTGAATCAGACCCCCCCCCTTGGTCCATCTGAGTCAGTCTTGCCCACTCGGACTGGCAGTGGCTCTCGGGGGTCTCGGGCGGAGAAAGGTCTTCCCCATCACCTACGGCCCGGTCCTTTTTACCTGGAGACGCTGCCGGGGACTGAACCCTGGACCTTCCGAATGCCAAGCGGATGCCTTTCCCCTGAGCCACGGTCCCTCTAGTCTCAGCCGTCTCAGTCGGCGGTGGCTGGCCACGTTCACCTGGGTGCCAGGGTTAGGGTTAGGGCCTCTGCCTGGCCTCTGCCCACGGAGCTTGGCTCCCGGCGACGTTTGCCCTCCACTCATCCTGTTCAGGGCTTGCAGGGGTTGCGGCATCTTGGAGCCAGGAAGTGTCTCTCCCCCCCCCCCGGTTTCCCCCCTGCTGTGCAGAGTTACAACTGGCTCCCTCCCCCATCCCAGCGACACCCGCAAGTCCGTGTGTGCGTGTTCCGGAAGAGCAGGTGCCAGACGCCTGTCTGCCCTGTGCCCCTTCCGGCTTGGGCCACCCGTCTCTCACCAGAGTGCCCAGGCGTGGCAGTTGGCCCCGTTCCTCCTCCTGGGGGGGGGGCAGGGGGAGGAGGCTTTGCCCCCCCCCCCCCCGCCGCGCCCCGAGGCCCCATGGCTTCCCTTGCAGGAGGAGGAGGAGGCCGCCTACATCCAGGAGATCATGACGACGACGGCCGACGGGCAGATGGTGCAGCACCTGGTGGCAGCCGAGAACCAGGTGGGGCAGCCTGCGGGGCGTCGGGGGTGCCGGGGGGGGTGGGTGGGCAGGAGCTGTGGGCAGAACGGCAACCTCCTCCTTTCTCCCCCCCTCCCCCCGCAGGTCCAGTACATCATTACCCAGGACGGCGTCCAGCACCTGCTGCCCCACGAGTACGTCGTCCTGCCCGAGGGGCATCATATCCAGGTGAGACTGGCATGCCTGCTGGCACAGAGGGCCTGCCTGCATCCCTGGCCCCTGCACGCGCCCGCTTCCTCTCACACAGCGACTGCAATGAAAAGGGCCAACGCTATGCTGGGGATTATTAGGAAGGGAGTTGAAAACAGATCAGCCAGTATCATCATGCCCCTGGATAAATCAATGGTGCGACCTCATTTGGAATACTGTGTGCAGTTCTGGTCACCACACCTTAAAAAGGATATTATAGCTTTGGGAAAAGTGCAGAAAAGGGCAACTCGAATGATAAAAGGGTTGGAACACTTTCCCTATGAAGAAAGGTTAAGGCGCTTAGGGCTCTTTAGCTTGGAGAAACGACGACTGAGGGGTGACATGATCGAGGTTTATAATATTATGCATGGGAAAGAGCAGGTAGAGAAAGAAGTACTTGTCTCCCTTTCTCACAATACAAGAACTCGTGGGCACTCCATGAAACCGCTGAGCGGTCGGGTTAGAACGGATAGAAGGAAGTCCTTCTTCACCCAAAGAGTGATTCACACTTGGAATTCACTGCCACAGGAAGTGGTGGCGGCTACAAGCATGGACGGCTTCAAGAGGGAATTAGATAAGCATATGGAGCAGAGGTCAATCAGTGGCTATCAGCCACAAGGTATAGATAGGAACTCTCAGTCTGGGGCAAGTGATGCTCTGTCATCTTGGTGCTTGGGGGGGGGGCAAGAGTGGGAGGGCTTCTAGTGTCCTGGCCCCTCTGGTGGACCTCCTGATGGCACCTGGTCTTTTTGGCCCCTGCGTGATGCAGAATGTCGGACTGGATGGGCCATTGGCCTGGTCCAACGCTGGCTTCTCTGATATTCTTCCCTTCCAGGTGCAGGATGGGCAGATCACGCACATCCAGTACGAGCAAGGCAGCCCGTTTGTGCAGGAGCCCCAGGTACGGGGAGGGGGATGGGGGGGCAGCTTCCCTTCCCTTGGGGGGAGCCAGGCAGAGGGGAGGGGGTTCAGCAGGGCTGGCTGGGTCCCAGGAAGACTGCCTCTGTTCTTGCTTCCCCCCACCCCAGATCCAGTACGTCCCCGTGTCCCCCGGGCAGCAGCTCGTCACCCAGGCTCAGCTGGAGGCAGCCGCCCACTCTGCAGTGACAGGTGCGTCTCTCTCGGGCTTTCGAGTCACGTAGGGCAGCCCCCTGAATGGATAGATGGATGGACGGACGGATGGACGCATGCTTTTTATTTTGTTGCTTCTTAGTCCACACAGTTGGTATAAAACCAGAAAGGCAAAGCAAAATAATCATATCATGATCAATGTTCTCTGTAAGCTGTGGGGTCCTGTGAGCAAAAACTCTACTTTGTGAGCTGCTGGCAATAAAGTTGTGAGCAGGTGATTTGGCTGCTGCATAGATTATTTTGCTCTGGAGCCCTCCTTCCTGAGCGGAGACGAAAATGTGTGAGCCGGAGGCTAAAATGCTGTAAGCTAGCTCACACCGACTCAGCTGAGAGGGAACACTGATCATGATGCCTGGAGTCTTAGCATCAAAAGAGGCACCGCTTACACATGCTTCATGCGGCTGCCGACAGAGTTCATTGCCAGACACACTTACGCAGTTCCGCAGGGCCTGCAAGACGGAGCTCTTCCGCCAGGCGTTCGAGTAGGAGCCGCCGCCACTATTCTACCACCGAGGTGGCAAGTCATCGGCTGCCCTATAAGAACAGGGGCAAGCAGGCCCTGGCAGAAGTTTGAGACAGTGTAGTGGGAGACCACGCTACTGAGACAGCTGGCCACCAAACCTGGGGGGTTGTCCCCATCTTGGATGATTAATATAGGTATAGCACCATATTATTGGAAGGTTTTATTGTGATTTTAAATGTTCTATTTATTATATACTGTATTGTATTTTGCACTCGGCTTTGCCGCATGTGAGCCGTCCTGAGCCTTTGGGAGGGCGGGATATAAATCAAACTAATAAATAAATAAATAAATTTTGGAAGCACAGAAAAGGGTGACAGGGGGGCGGGGGGTGGGGCTTACTTCCCTCCTGACGATGAAGTGGGGGACGGGACACATTTTGGTTATAAGTGCTTTATTTAAAAAATAATGACAGTAATAATAATAGCAACCTTCCTAAGTGCAAAAACAGTTATAGGCTGCATATATTCCACAGAGTTACGCATGCCTGCGTGCATGCAGGACCTCCCAAACAACCGCTCGTTAACAGCCTCGCTCAGGTCTTGCAAGCGGAGGGCCGTGGCCTTCTTTGGGGCCTCATTTTGAGTGTCCTCGCTGGAGATGCGCTCCTCCCTCCGCCTCCCCTGCATCGGCTCGCTCTGGCATCCCCTCCCGTGCAGAGGAGGAGCACTTCTGCTCCCTCCGGCTTCCCTCTCACGGAGGGCGCCTCTGGGGTCCCAGCACAGCCTCACGGGCCTTTCCTCCTCCGTGCCCGCCTCCCCCTGCTCACCTGTCTCTCTCTCTCTCTCTCCCCTTTCTCTCTGCAGCAGTGGCGGATGCTGCCATGGCCCAGGCCACGTTGGGCACAGAGGGCGCCACAGAACAGCTCCACCAGCTGCAGCCCGGCGTCCACTACGACATCATCACCCTGGCAGAGTAGAGCGAGGGGCGGACCTTCTCTTCCACCGAGGCGACCCGCTGCCGTGGGGAAGCGGGACTGGGGGTGCGCCCGGGTCGTGCCTCCTGCCATTCCCCGGCCTGGGCTGGCGGCTGTCTTCTCGGGAGCAACCGCAGCACGCAACTGGGTGGGGGGGCAGCGGCAGGTAGCCTGGCCTCCCTGGGGCTGGCTGGCAGGGGCCCGCGGAGAGGTGCTGGACTGTGAACGG